CATCAACCCTCAGTTTGTTCTCAGTTTTTAAGAGTCTCTTATGTTTTGGCTCTCTCCCTCTCTAACCTCTTTTTTTTTTCTTCCCCTCCCCCATGGACTTCTGGTAAGATTCTCAGGATCCACATAAGAATGAAAACATATGGTATTTGTCTTTCTCTGTATGACTTAATGAAATAGCTTATTAATTATAGGAGCTTTTTTTGTAGATTCTTTAGGATTTTCCATGCAACATGTAATCCGCAAATAAGACAGTTTTATTTTTTTCCTTTCCACTTTGTATGCTTTTTTTCCCCTTTTTCTTGTCTTGTTGCACTGGTTACATCTGTCAGTACAAGGCTGAATAGGAGTGGTAAAAGTGAATATTCTTTTCTTTTCTTTTCTTTATTCATTTACTTACTTATGAAGGTGAATATTCTTATTTCCAATTTTAGGGGGGAAAAGTTCTCTTTTATTTTTTAGTGTGATGCTCGCTGTACTTTTTTTTACAAAACTCAAAAAATGTTAGTTCCTAGTTTGCTGAGAACTAAACATCATGAGTGAATGTTATATTTTGTCAAATTCTTTTTCTGTATCTATTAAGATTTTTTTTTTCTTCTTTAGTCTGCTGTTATGGTAAATTTCATTGATTGCTCTTTTTCTCAGAATAGCTTTTTTTAATTGAGATAAAATTTACATAACATAAAATTCACCATTTAAAATTTAGTTGTTTTTAGTTCATAAACTATGTTGTGTAACCATCAGCACTAATTCCAGAACATTTCCATCACTCCAGAAAGAAACCCTTTCTGTTAGCATCAACTCCAATTCCCTCTTTCCTCTTTTCCCTGGCAACGGTTAATCTACTTTCTAGCTCTACGAATTTGTCTAAGTCAGACACTTCAGATGGATGAAATCATACAATATGTAGCCTTTTGTGACAGGTTATTTTCACTTACCATAAAATTTTCAAGGTTTACCCATGTAGCATGTGTCAACACTTCATTCTTGTTATAACTAAATAGTATTTCATTGTATAGATGTACCACATTTTGTTTACCTCTTCAAAAGTTGATGAACATTTAGATTTTTTTCACCTTTTGACTATTATGAATAATGTTGCTATGAACAGTCGTGTTTTTATTTGAACATTTATTTTTGTTTGGGGGAAGCTATATATCTAATCTAGGAGGGGAATTTCTGGGTCATGTAGTAAACCTATATTTAACTTTTTGAGGAACTGCCAAACTGTATTCCAAAAAGATTCTATTATTTTACATGAGGGCTCCCATTTCCCCACATCCTCACCAATATTTGTTATTTTTTATTTTTTTAAATAGTCATTCTAGTGATATCTCTATTGTGGTTTTGATTTGTCTTTCACTAAAAACTAATAATGTTGAACATCTTTTCATGTGCCTATTGGCCATTTGTATATATCCTCTTTAGAGAAATGTTTGTTCAAATCTTATACCCACTTTTAAATTGCATGTTTTGTCTCTTTATTGTTGAGCTGTAAGAGTTCTTTATATATTCTAAATACCAGATCTTTATCAGATATATGGTTTATAAATAGTTTCTTCCATCCTTTTCATTTTCTTGATAGTGTCCTTTGATGCTCAAAAGTTTTCAATCTGATGAAGCCAAATTTATCTATTTTTTCTTTGTTTTATTGTTCTTGTGGTGTTATATCTAAGAAACCACTGCCAAATCTAAAATTACAAAAATTTACCCATGAGTCCTTCTAAGAAGTTTATAGCTTTAGTTCTTACATTTAGGTCTTTGATCTATTTTGAATTAATTTTTGTATATTTTGAGGTAGGAGATATCCAGTTATCCCAACACCATTTGTTGAAAAGATTATTTTTCCCTATTGAATGAACTTGGTACCTTTGTCAAAAATCAATTGATTATAGATGTATAGGTTTATTTCTGGACCCCTCGTCCTATTCCATTGACCTGTAGGTCTATCTTTACACTGATACCACACTGTCTTGATTATTGTAGATTGGTAGTAGGTTTTGACATTGGAAATTCTTCTTTTTCAAATATTTTGACTATTCTGGGTCCCTAGCATTTCCATGTGAACTTTATAATCAGCTTGTCCATTTCTGGAACATTATTGAACAAGCCCTGCATTCATGGGATTAACTACACTTGATTGTGATGCATTATCATTTTTATAGATTTAAATTTTTATTAAATATTGGTCTGCAGTCAACAAAGTGTTTTAAACTGAAGATTGATATCAACAGTTTCTCATTTAGAAAGTTCACTCTCCCTCTATGGATTAAAGAGAGGAAACATAAGACTTTGGGAGACCCACAGGAACCTAAATCTAGGTCCACGGAAATGATGGCATGTACCAGGCTGATTTCATTAGAAATGGAGGGAGTGATAGATTTGACATTAATCTAGTTCTTCCCAGTGTTTTCACCCACACTCCCCAAACCCCAATACACACACTCTGAACTGTGTCTCATGCTCTCTCCTTCCTTTGGCCCTCTTCTTTCCACATTCTTCATTTCTCTAGTTCTTCCACATCAATTGTCACTTTCTCTAGGAAACTTTCCTTAACATCCTTGTGTGGATATCCCTCCCATTTACTCTCATAACACTCAGACTGTCCCAGTTTAGTATTCATCATCCTTGATTCTAATTTGCATGTGTAATGCCTGTGTATGGTAAAAGAGTTGACCATCCAGCCTTCTCCATGTAATTCTGGACCACACACACTTAAAACAGAGAAGTAGCATCACATTCACACTTGACTTCCTAGAATTCCCCTATGTATTCTCCCCCACCCTACCCCTTATATGTGTCAGGCACTGATGCCTATGTTTTATGTGTTGATAAAAACTATGAAAAGACCATATGAAGAATTTGACGATGGCAAAGAATTATGACAAGCTGTTCAGGTATCAGAGCAATCAGGTATCCACATATGATGCATTAATTGCAGACCAAAGTGAGCCAGTGATAAAAATGAAAGGAATACACACAGAACTACAGACACATGAGTGCAACCCTATTTCAGGAATTTTCAAGGATAATTTGAACTAGAAACTTTTGTGTCTCACACCACATATGATGCCACACATAAGATGCAACCACACTGCTTTTTCAGGGTGATATTCAAAATATTGAACTGCTAGGAGCACCGGGGTGACTCAGTGGGTTAAGGGTCCTACTTCGGCTCAGGTCACGATCTCATGGCTCATGAGTTTAAGCCCCACATCAGGCTCTGTGCTGACAGTGCAGAGCCTGGAGACTGCTTCAGATTCTGTGTCTCCCTCTCTCTCTCTCTCTCTGCCCCTCCCCCGCTCACACTCTGTCTCTCTCTCCTTTTCAAAAATAAATAAACATTTTAAAAAATCAAAATATTGAACTGTTAGGATTGCTCAGGCACTGACTATGGGCTTAGATGAAGTAGGTCCAAAAGCTCCCCTGAGATGCCCTGTCTCACCTCATAGTTGTTGAATCATGGGGAAGTTCAAAGAATAATGAGGAAGAGACCAGAGTGCAAGGGAGGGGGAAGAAAGCATTAATCTAAGGAAAGCATCTATTGATTGACACATATGGAATTATTTCCATATTCTAATAACTAATATGGCTATACTGGTTGTGTACTGGTTAAATACCAGCTCTTTGCACAGGGAGACTCACAGAAAGCTCTGCACAAGTCAAGTGTCATTATTTATTGTAGTTAGAAAAGTGAAAACACAGCATTCTCAAATACAAAGCTTATTCTTGTGACTGTCCAGCTCAAAGACCTCTGAAAGCTCCTTTACAAAACTCTGATACACATAGCACCTGGTGATGCCCATACTGGAATGTCAAGCCCCCAAGTGCCTCTGTTTGCACATTTATGCTCCACATACTCTGCACTTACCTGGCTACCCTTGATAACAGTGTTGGTCTCCCAGGTACCAGCATTCTCTCTAAACATCACCACCAGGCCAGTGTGCTGATATCGAGGTGCCCCAAGAACCAGATTTTGCACCCTGCTCCTCCATATGACTTCGGCAGCATAACCTGAAGATGGTGATCTGAGAGGATAAGTGCTTTCCTTCACAGACTCAGCCCCCTCTAGGAGACCTATCCTTAGAGTAGGGGCACTGCAGTAGCCCCATGCTTAGTAGGTTGGGATAACTGGACCCTGCACTATATCCCCCTTTTTTAACATAACTAAAATGAAATTTTGAAATTTCTGTCTTTAAATTTATTCCAAGGGCCTTTGAAAGATCCAGTGATGTCTATGCTAGTTGAGGTATGCCCTATCAAGACCCCTTCTTAGAGCTACCCTGCCGTCTCCACTTACCCAAGTAAGCATCATTCATGTCTGAATCTACCCTGGTTGTGTTGATGAAGGTGAATTTGTCCTTTGACACATACAGAAAAGCTCCACCAGCCCAGTCAAAGCTTCCCACAGCACCTAGCAAGAGATCATTCTGGGAAAGAAGGTAGAACAAGATTGAGCAACATACAGCTTCAGTGCAATCCTTATCAAAATTTCAATGGCATTTTTCATGGAAATAGAACAAACAATCCTAAATTTGTATGGAACTACAAAAGACCCCAAATAGCCAAAGCAATTCTGAGAAAGAAGAACAAAGCTGGAGGCATCATGTTTTCTGATTTCAAACTATATTGCAAAATTATAGTAATCAAAACAGTATCATATTGGCATAAATACAAACATATAGATAAATATAGCAGAATACATAGACAGCCCAGAAATAAACCCATACATATACGGTCAATTAATTTACAACAAAAGATTCAAGAATATGCAATGGGGAAAAGACAGTCTCTCAATAAATGGGATTGGGAAAAGTGAAAAGTCTCATGCAAAAGAATGAAACTGAACCACTCTCTCACATCACTTACAAAAATCAATTCAAAATGGACCATAAGACCGTAAACCATAACACTCCAAGAATAAAACTGGTGGTAAGCAACTTTACATTGATCGTGGCAAGGATTTTTTGGGGTTTGACACCAAAAGCAAAGGCAACAAAAACAAAAATAAACAAATAGGACTACATCAAGCTAAAAATCTTCTGCACAACAAAAGAAACCATCAACAAAGTGAAAAGGTAACCTACAGAATTGGAGAAAATATTTGTGCATCATATCTCTGGTAAGGGGTTGATATATACAAAATATATAAAGAACTCCTACAACTCAATAGCAAAAAATTTCTGATTAAAAATGGGCAGGGGATCTGAATAGACATTTTTCCAAAGAAGATATACAGATGGCCAGTGCTCAACATCACTAATCATCAGGGAAATGCAAATCAAAACCACAATGAGATGTCACCTCACACCTGTTAGAATGACTGTCATGAAAAAGAAAAGAAAGAAATGAAGGAAATGAAAACACTAACTCAAAAAGATATCTGCACCCCATGTTCACTGAAGCATTATTTACAATAACCAAGACATGGAAATAATCTAAGTGTCCACTGAAGCACAGATAAAGAAAATGTTATATATAATACAATGGAATATTAACCAGCCATAAAAAAGAAGGAAATACTGCCATTTGTAACATGTATGGACCTTGAGGGCATTATGCTAAGCAAAACAAGTCAGAGAAAGACAAATATGGTATGATCTCACGTATATATGGAATCTAAAACAAAACAAAAACTGAACTCATAGATGCAGAGAACAAATTGGTGGTAGCCAAAGGCAATTTGTTGGGAAGGTAGGCAAAATGGGTGATGGTGGTCAAAAGGTACAAATTTCCAGTTATAAAATAAAGTCTGGGGTATAATGTACACCCTGGTAAGTATAGTTAATAACACTGTATTGGTATTTTAAATTTGCTAAGAATATAAATCTTAAAGTTTTCATCACAAGAAAAATAAATTTTTTACCTAAATGTGTGATGGATATTAATCAGACTTATTGTGTTGATCATTTCACAATACATGCATACATCAAATCATTATGTTGTATACCTAAAGATAATACCATATGTCCACTATATCTCATTTAAAAAAAAAAAAAAAGGTCTGATAAGGAAAAGAAAAGGGACCACTGCTCCCCATCAAAGACATGCCTCCCAACAAGTACCAATTGCAGATAAAAGCCACCATACCCTTGCACCTCTTCTCCCCCTTCTTCTTGCCCCATCACAATTTAATAAAGGACCACTTACAGAGGTGATGGCAGCACTGAAGCCTTCCTGAGACATCTCATGTTCAAAGGAGCTGGTACTTCCTGTCTGAGTACCTGTGAGGAGGAGCACTTTCTACATTAAAGAAAGAAGAAGATCTGGGAACTCAAATGTTATGTTGACCAGACAAAAAGAGAGTCATATGGGAGCTATGTTGCACTAGAAAGCATGTACTCCTTTTAAAGAGAAGGTGGCAATTTGGTCCCACCTTCTTTTTGCCAAGTAGGAATGCAGTCTAACCTTCCAACTTTTCAAGAGAAACCATAAATCCAGATTGTGTATGAACCTTTCCCTAATTTTTGAATTAATTTATTCAATAAACATTTATTGAGAACTCTCTATGTACCAGGCACTATTCTAGACACTGGAAATACAGCAGTGACTCAAACAGACAAATGTTGGTAGCATATCTAAATTTTTTGAAAAATACTATCTGAGATTTGGCTCCCTTATCCTCCAATTTTTCAGCCTATAGCCAAGGCTTACAAAGTAAATATAAAGTCTACATTCTTTGATTTCAAAGGAAATGACCAAGTGAGGCCAGAGTTGCTGGGAACTAGAGGAAATGGAGAAAGAGTTAATGCTGAGAGGATATCAAGGGTTAAGAGGTTCTAGCTACTAAAGAGGAAATGCATGTTTGGAGATAAGGAGCTGCCTCTGGAGCTGCTACAGGAATATAGAACCTTAGCTTACCCTCAATTGCAAAGATCTTTTCCTGAAGCTGGTTTTGAATGGTCTTCAGAGCTTCAAAGTTATTCACCCGGAACACATAATCACGAGGAGGCTTTGATGCAATGGTATTAAGCTCTTCACGAGTTTTTGGACTGTTGAAAGCAGCTCCCACCTGTTATCAAGGAATAGAGGCCAAGTCAGACATCATCTGGGGGTATCAGTCTCATCCAGCAAAGAAAATTCTGTGGGAAAAGAATCTGAAACAATATCTGTCAGATGAAGAAATGCACCAGAATAGGGACAGGGCTACCAAGTATAGTAGGGCAGGTTATGCACTGCACATAACATTCTGTCAAGGGAGAAATTAGCTTTTGGTCCTTTTGCTGTGCTATGCCTCCTGGTATGGAGCTGACCTCTCCCCAGAGTAAAGGGAGTCTTTTTCTCTATATGAAGGGGTTTCTTACTTGCCAACCCATGCACCCGTGATGATACCTTTTTCTATGTCATACAAGGTACTGTGGTAGTTTGATTACACTGATGATCCCCAACTCTATACCTCTTCCTATATCCAAGCCCTTTCCCCCAAAACTTTGCTGTATCCTCCTATCTACGGCAGAGCAATCTGCCCTGCTTGTTGTCTCTGGGTCCGGCTATGTGTCTTGCTTCAGCCAATGGATATTATCATACATGATTCAGACAGATGCTTTAAAAAAAAGTGCTTGAAACATTTCCACTTGCTCTTTTTTATTGTTTTTTTAATGTTTATTTATTTTATTTTTGAGAGACAGAGCATGAGCAGGGGAGGGGTGGAGAGAGAGAGGGAGACACAGAATCTGAAGCATGCTCCAGGCTCTGAGCTGTCAGCACAGAGCCCGACAGGGGCCTTGAAGCCACAAGCCATGAGATCATGACCTGAGCTGAAGTCAGACTCTCAACCGACTGAGCCACCCAGGTGCCCCCACTTGCTCTTTTGTTCCCCTGCCTTCACCATGAGGACATGCCCAGGCTAGCCCACTGTAAGATGATACTGGGAGCAGCAGAGCCAAGTTACCCCAGTTGTTCCAGTCATTCCAGTCCAGCAGACAGACATAGATGGCAACCCTCAAAAATGGAGAGAGCCCAGCCAAGATCAGCAAAGCTGCCAAGCAACCTTCAAATGATTACAGATTTAAGAGTGAGCCTAGTCAAAGCCAGAAAAATTGTCCAGCTCAACTACAGACTTACTTATTGTTTTAAAAGACTGAATTCTGGGGGCGCCTAGGTGGCTCAGTCGGTTAAGCGTCCGACTTCGGCTCAGGTCATGATCTCACGTTCTGTGAGTTCGAGCCCCGTGTCGGGCTCTGGGCTGATGGCTCAGAGCC